CTGAACCCGATCTCCATGGACTGACGGTTCTTAAGGTGGCGTTTGTGGGACGTATACTCACGGCGCATCCCTAGGGGGCTTCGGCTTGATCAGCGATAGCTTCTTGTTGGGTGTCCTACGTCTAATTGTGGCTCCATGGTGGGTGGGGGCACATTCGTGAGTGAAAGTGTTTCTTTTCATGTCTATGTTGCTGAATGTACCTCTTGAACCCTCTCAGGTTCGTGGGATGGGCGACCAAGCCCCCAAGTCGGACTGTATTGGAAGACCAGGATCTGTAGCCCCCGCTGCATTGGGCCCCGACCTTGCTCCTCCTTTGACCCCCCTGACTGCTTCCCTCGGCTCCCCTCCCTCCTCTGTGGTTGGGTCGAGCCCCAAGCCCCCAGTGGTGACCACCTTGTCCCCTGGCACGGCTCAGTCTCTAGTTGTGACTACCACGCCTTTTAACCCCACACTCTCTCTCTGGGGGTTCTCACCGCCGTCCTCGACGCGGCCGCACTCGCTCGATTCCTTCCATGCCACGTCATGTTCTGATGCCTATCAAGCCTTGTTTGGTCCTGCTTCATGGGCCAAATACTTTGATCTCCTCCCTCTTGATTCTGCACCTCCTGACGACTTCTCCCTTCGTAGGCACCTTGTTGATTCCGTAGATGCCTTTGTCACCTTCAACCCCACCTGTCTTGGTACACGTGTCATTGCTGCTCCTTCTCAGGATGTGGCCTTCCGCTTGTATGCTTTATCCTGCCTTGGCAAGACTCCTGTTCGGGTCTCCAAGAATGCTCGGTTGAATGCCAGTGTTGGCACTATTCTCCTTCTGCCCCATGTTGCAACCGGTGTTCGGAATCTGCAGGACTGCCACGATGATATTCAGCATATCCTTGAGGCCCAGGGGCATTCTGTCCTCTGGGTAGACACATTTACTCATGGTCGTCGCCATCAGCCCCTTCGGGTTGTGAAGATTACCTGTGATGGTAGGACCCTTCCACCCTCTGGCATTCTTGCTGGTGCCAGGTGCTCTGTCCAGGAGTACACTCCTCCTAGGATCTGTAACAAGTGCTGGAGGTTTGGGCATGGTGCCCTCCACTGCTCTGGGATTGTCTCTCTCTGTCCTTTGTGTGAAGGCGATGGTCACTTTAAGTCGGAGTGCACTTTTCCCCAGGCTCGCTGCCTCAACTGTGGTGAGGCCCATCCTACCTTTAGCCGTGCGTGTATCCATTACAAGCTTGAAGCTGCCGTCCTCAACTTGAAGCACCGGGAGCGTTTATCTTTTCCTGAGGCGAGGCGCCAGGTTCGCTGGCTCCTGCCTTATGCTAACGTCTCTTATGCTCGCGTGTTGCGCTCTTCCTCTCCTAGTCCTTCCCACCTTCCTCAGACTCACATCCATTTCTGGGCCTTGGACCCTGATACGCCCACTGCCCCCTCCTCTGTTCCTTTGAGTTCTGTCCTGAAGGGTCCCCCCTCCTGGTCCTCTGTCTGGGGTTCCCCTTCTTCCTACCTGGTCTGTCATGTCTCCTGTTTCTTCTTCCTCGTCTCCCTCTGATCCTCCTTCCCATCCTTCTCCATCTATCGAATCCCCCACGCCGCCTGTCAGTGCGGGCTGATGTTCATCGCTTTCCTAACGGCCGTCGTGTGTGCTCTCGTTCAGCTTCTCCTGTTGAGACGCTGGAATCCGTTGCCCAGTACGTAGTTGCTGGGACACCTGTCTCTTTAAGTCAGAAGCGTAAGCCTGGCTCCTCTCCTTCCTCCTCCTCGGCGGGTAAGAAGGCTTCACTTTCTTCCTGGGCCCCTACTTCTGACTATATCGCTCTTTCCCTTCCCATTTCGGTTTGCGCACCCTGTTCCTGCTATGGAGGTTTCTTTGGCCCCCGCTTCCCTCTCGGTTGCTGCCCTTGCTGAGGTGCGCTCCCCTCTTCCTGCTGCTGTCCTTGCCTCCTCCTCTCGGTTGCCTCCTCCTCCTCCGGACCCCGCCCGTCCACCTCTGGTCTGTTCTCTCGCTTACTTCCCTCCGTCTTTGATCAGTTTACCCATGCCCCTAACTTTGCTGACCCTGATCTTCTTTAACGTGCTATGTTGCTCTTTCACCTTTGTTTCTTATTTGTTGTCTGTTGTTGTCCTTTCTCTTCTTGTCGATGTCTATTCTTCAATGGAACGTTCAGGGTTATAACGCCAATTTCCTTGAACTCCAATTTCTGATTTCGCGGTTTTCGCCCCTTTGTTTCTGTCTCCAGGAGCCGATGCTTGATGCTCGTCCTGGTCGCTTTCGTGACTATTCCTTTCTCTCCCCCTCCCCCCCCCCCCGGCTGTTGCTGGGGGCTCCCAACTCTTCCGCTCTCTTGATTTGCTCTGATGTTCCCTTTGTCCCCTTACTTTTTTCCTTTGCCTCTCCATTGTTCTGCTGCTTGTATCTTTGTGGAGAAATGGTATAACGTTTGTTCCATTTATCTACCCCCGAGGGTCCCGCTTTCTCTTCCTGATCTGAAACACCTACTGGACACCTTGCCGGAGCCTGTGCTCCTGCTGGGTGATTTCAATGGTCGTCATTCCATTTGGGGTGATGTTTTGACGAACACCCGGGGTCGGCTTCTTGAGCCGTTCATCCTCTCTTCTTCCCTGTCTCTTCTGAATTCTGGTGAGCCCACGCATTTGGACTCTCGGATTCGCACTCTTTCCTGTCTTGATCTTTCTCTTTGCTCGTCTTCTCTTTACTTAGATTTCATGTGGCGAGTTCTTGATGACCTCCATGGCAGTGACCATTTCCCCATCATTGTTACCTTTTTCTCTTTTCACCCACTCCCTCTCCTTCCCTAGGTGGCAGTTTGCTAAAGCGGACTGGAACCTATTTACCCTCAGTGCTGCTCTCTCTGACCTCTTCAGCTTCATTCTTTTGGCATTCGTGGTCATCTCTCTCTCTTTCTCCGCAGCTTCCTCTCTCGTCGTTCCTTTCGAGTGAGGCTTGGTACCGCTCTCTCTGCCTCTTTTCAGCAATACGAAGGTGTGCCCCAGGGTAGTGTTCTGAGCACTACTCTTTTTCTGGTTGCTCTCATTGGTCTTCTTTCCTCTCTTCCTTCAGGCGTTTTCTCCGCTCTCTATGTCGACGATCTTAACCTTTGCTGTCAGGGTGATGATTCACCTCTGTCCTGCGTGACAGTGAATACCAGCATTATCCTCACTTTAATTAGACTTAATCGAAGTCCTCAGATTAGGCAAAATTATAATTAATTTTGTCAATAAAGATGTTAATAATAATAAATCCTTCAACGCCGGCTTCAACTTGCGATTGATGCTGTGTCGTCTTGGGCCGCCGATCATGGCTTCACGGTGTCTACTACCAAGACTTGTACCATGACTTTTACGCGGAAACGGGTCGTTCTTCCTCCCTCATTGTCACTTTATGGTCATCACCTTGAGTACAAAGATTCCGCGAAGCTTTTGGGGTTATTCTTTGACACTCGTTTGTCTTGGTCTCCCAATATCCCTTACCTCCATGTTGAGTGCTCTAAGGCTATTACCCTCCTTCGGGTATTGTCCCATACTTCTTGGGGAGCGGATAGGCCCACTCTCCTCGCTTTACATTCCTCTCTCGTCCTGTCTAAGCTTGACTATGGTTGACCTGCTTACTCGTCTGCTTCTCCTTCTACTCTTCGCCGTCCTGATGCTTTGCACCATACGGGGTTGCGCCTCGGTTCTGGTGCCTTTCGTTCGACTCCTGTCCTCAGCTTGTATGTTGACACTGGCTTCCTATCTCTCCAGGACCACTGTGATCGCTACTGTCTTCGCTATCTTGCGCTGTCCTTCCAACAGCCTTCCTCTCGCCTCTGATGGCTTTTACCCCTCCTGCAGTTCCTGTTCCTCTTCACCACCTCCCTCTTTCAGTCCGGTTGTCTAGCTTAAAGGATTCTCTTTCCGTTCGTATTTCTAATATTTCTCCTCGTGTCGTTCCTTCTTTGCTCTCCTTTCCGCAGTTTTGTACATTCTTGACCCGCATCCCTAAGGCTTTTAATTTACACCTCCTTTGGTTCTAAAATGCTTTTTCCTCGAGCACTTTTCTTCTCACTCCCACTCCGTTTCCGTTTTCACCGATGGGTCTAAGTCTGCGGACGGTGTTGGCTACTCTGTTGTTTTTCCTGTTCACACTTATATGTGTCGCTTACCTCCGGAGACTAGCATCTTTACAGCGGAGCTTTATGCTATTCTCTATGCTCTTCGTCTTCTGCTTTTTCGTTGTCAATCTTCCTCTGTGGTTGTTGTTGACTCGTAGTGCCCTCATGGCTCTCGGGTCCTTTAATCTGGTTCATCCAGTAGTTGTCGAGATCCAACATTGGCTGTTTCTTGTTCACAGTAAATTCAAGTCGGTTGAGTTTTGTTGGGTTCCCAGCCATATTGGTGTCTCTTTAAATGAGCGTGCGGATGCTGCTGCCAGGGAAGCTGTCCGCTCTTGTCCCATCTCTCGTAAAGGTATTCCTTATTCCGACTTTTACCTGGTTATCCATTCCTCTATTCTTACCTATTGACAGTCTTATTGGTCGTCTGTTACTGGTAACAAACTACGTTCTCTTAAAAATTGTGTGTCCTCGTGGCCGTCCTCCTACCACCGTAACAGGTGATGGGAAACAGCTCTGGTGAGGTTGCGTATTGGCCATACTCGCTTAACTCATGGTCACTTGATGGAGCGCCACCCTGCTCCTTATTGTCCTCATTGCATTGGCCCTCTTACGGTCGTACATATCCTTGTTAAATGTTCTTACTTCCTGGACGAGCGTGTGTCTTGTTTTCCGACCGTCCCCCGCGGTCGCTTGTCTCTTGATAGTGTTCTTGGTGACTCGGATACTTTTGATATCGTTCGCCTTATGCGTTTCTGGTCTCGTATTGGCATCCTTGGTGATATTTAGCGCCCTCTGATTATCCCAAACATTTGATGGTGCTACATAGCCTTCCCGGTTTGGTGCCTTCTTTTTGATAATTACTTACTTACTTTCCCATTAATTAAGTTTCAGAAAATGAAGAAGCAGCATGGCGCTACTGCATTGAGCCCTGCGGCACCCTGCTGGAGTGTGGCCACGTGTGTAGAGGGCAGTGTGGTCGCTGCCTCCACGGCCGGCTCCACACCGCCTGTGCTCACCAGTGTGGCAAGCCGCTCGTCTGTGGTCATGTGTAAGTTGGCAGATCAATTTAAACTTAACATATTTACAGAAAGTAAATTTAAAAAAAATATATATAACTTTTTGGCGAGTTTTTTTATCAGTTTTGTAGACTGTAACGACCGATGTGTTTATTTGTAGATCAGTTAAAACAGTTAAAATTTAGATATAAATTATGTTTAAATTTGAAATAAATTTACGAACCTACAAATTTTTAGGTGATTTATAGTTTTCCAAGTTATTAAAATATATTAGACTGTTAGGATAGATAAGGTTAGATTGTAGGTGCAGTATGACCTAGTGATAAACCAATACACTACAGCAATCATTCCCTTACAGTATAACCAGTTTGTGAGTGGTGTAACTGCCTGTGTGCAAGCCTGTAGTTTGTGTCGTCCTGATGAGCCAAAAATCTCTTCCCTCTATCTTAACTCTTCCTGTTGAGAGGGCTAGACCATCATTTTTGTATATACGTCAATTAAAAAAAGTAGTTTTACACATCCAATGTATGGCCACTATGTTGTTTGGACACCATATCAGCTTAGTTGCACAGTTATGGTGAACAAAACATGTAGATACTTATATATAACGTGTGTATATAATATAATAACAAACAATATGGTGGGAGGAGGAATGTTGGTGAGAAAGGGAGGTAGCATCAGCTGCCTGAGTGGCGGCATTTGTTAGTGTCTGGACTCACCATACCAGCTTAGTGGTTTGCTATGGTGGTAAACATCCAATGTCTTCGTTGTACCGATATCAGATTAACTATTAATCAGTGTGGTTTCCTCAAACATCATTATATTACGATGGTTATTTTATATTTGATAACACTTTTACACTCCAGGGTCACAATGTTCACACTCCAGGGTCACCATACAATGTTTACACTCCAGGGTCACCATACAATGTTTACACTCCAGGGTCACCATACAATGTTTACACTCCAGGGTCACCATACAATGTTTACACTCCAGGGTCACCATACAATGTTTACACTCCAGGGTCACCATACAATGTTTACACTCCAGGGTCACCATACAATGTTTAAACTCCAGGGTCACAATGTTCACACTCCAGGGTCACAATGTTCACACTCCAGGGTCACCATACAATGTTTACACTCCAGGGTCACCATACAATGTTTACACTCCAGGGTCACCATACAATGTTTACACTCCAGGGTCACCATACAATGTTTACACTCCAGGGTTACCATACAATGTTTACACTCCAGGGTCACAATGTTCACACTCCAGGGTCACCATACAATGTTTACACTCCAGGGTCACCATACAATGTTTACACTCCAGGGTCACCATACAATGTTTACACTCCAGGGTCACCATACAATGTTTACACTCCAGGGTCACCATACAATGTTTACACTCCAGGGTCACCATACAATATTTACACTCCAGGGTCACCATACAATGTTTAAACTCCAGGGTCACAATGTTCACACTCCAGGGTCACAATGTTCACACTCCAGGGTCACCATACAGTGTTTACACTCCAGGGTTACCATACAATGTTTACACTCCAGGGTCACCATACAATGTTTACACTCCAGGGTTACCATACAATGTTTAAACTCCAGGGTCACAATGTTCACACTCCAGGGTCACCATACAATGTTTACACTCCAGGGTCAAAATGTTTACACTCCAGGGTCACGATACAGTGTTTACGCTCCAGGGTCACCAAACAATGTTTACACTCCAGGGTCACCATACAATGTTTACACTACAGGGTTACCATACAATGTTTATACTCCAGGGTCACCATACAATGTTTACACTCCAGGGTTACCATACAATGTTTACACTACAGGGTCACCATACAATGTTTACACTCCAGGGTCACCATACAATGTTTACACTCCAGGGTTACCATACAATGTTTACACTACAGGGTTACCATACAATGTTTACACTCCAGGGTCACCATACAATGTTTACACTACAGGGTTACCATACAATGTTTACACTCCAGGGTCACCATACAATGTTTACACTCCAGGGTTACCATACAATGTTTACACTCCAGGGTTACCATACAATGTTTACACTCAAGGGTCACAATGTTCACACTCCAGGGTCACCATACAGTGTTTACACTCCAGGGTCACCAAACAATGTTTACACTCCAGGGTCACCATACAATGTTTACACTCCAGGGTCACCATACAATGTTTACACTCCAGGGTCACCATACAATGTTTAAACTCCAGGGTCACAATGTTCACACTCCAGGGTCACCATACAGTGTTTACACTCCAGGGTCACCATACAATGTTTACACTCCAGGGTTACCATACAATGTTTACACTCAAGGGTCACAATGTTCACACTCCAGTGTCACCACACAGTTTTTACACTCCAGGGTCACAATGTTCACACTCCAGTGTCACCATACAATGTTTACACTGCAGAGTCACCATGCAGTGTTTACACTTCAGAGTCACCATACAATGTTTACACTCCAGGGTCACCATACAGTGTTTACACTCCAGGGTCACCATAGGGTGTTTACACTCCAGGGTCACAATGTTTAGACTCCAGGGTCACAATGTTTAGACTCAAGGGTCACCATACAGTGTTTAAACTCCAGGGTCACCATACAATGTTTACACTCCAGGGTCACAATGTTCACACTCCAGGGTCACAATGTTCACACACCAGGGTCACAATGTTCACACTCCAGGGTCACCATACAATGTTTCCACTCCAGGGTCACCATAGAGTGTTTACACTCCAGGGTCACGATGCTTACATTCCATGGTCATCATACAGTGTTTACACTCCAGGGTCACAATGTTTACACTCCAGGGTCACCATACAATGTATACACTCCAGGGTCACCATACAGTGTTTACACTCCAGGGTCACCATACAGTGTTTACACTCCAGGGTCACCATACAGTGTTTAAACTCCAGGGGTCACAATGTTTACATTCCTGGGTCACCATATAATATATACACTCCAGGGTCACCAGACAATGTTTACACTCCAGGGTCACCATACAGTGTTTACACTCCAGGGGTTACCATACAATGTTTACACTCCTGGGTCACCATACAGTGTTTACACTCCAGTGTCAAAAGACAATGTTTACACTCCAGGGTCACAATGTTTACCCCGAGGGTCACCATACAATGTTTACACTCCAGAGTCACTATACAGTGTTTACACTCCAGGGACACCATACAGTGTTTACACTCCTGGGTCACCATACAGTGCTTACACTCCAGGGTCACCATACAGTGTTTACACTCCAGGGTCACAATGTTTACACTCCAGGGTCACCATACAGTGTTTACACTCCAGGGTCACCAAACAGTGTTTACACTCCAGGATCACCATACAATGTTTACACTCCAGGGTTACGATACAATGTTTACACTCCAGGGTCACAATGTTCACACTCCAAGGTCACACTGTTTACACTCCAGGGTCACCATACAGTGTTTACACTCCAGGGTCACAATACAGTGTTTACACTCCAGGATCACCATACAATGTTTACACTCCAGGGTTACCATACAATGTTTACACTCCAGGGTCACAATGTTCACACTCCAAGGTCAGCATACAATGTTCACACTACAGGGTCACAATGTTTAAACTCCAGGGTCACCATACAGTGTTTATACTCCAGGGTCACCATACAGTGTTTACACTCCAGGGTCACCATACAATGTTTACACTCCAGGGTCACTATACAGTCTTTACACTCCAGGGTCACCATACAGTGTTTACACTCCAGGGGTCACCAAACAGTGTTTACACTCCATGGTCACCATACAGTGTTTACACTCCAGGGTCACCATACAGTGTTTAAACTCCAGGGTCACCATGAAAAGTTTACACTCTAGGGTCAACATACAGTGTTAACACACCAGGGTCACAATGTTTACACTCCAGGGTCACCATACAGTGTTTACACGCCAGGGTCACCATACAATGTTTACACTCCAGGGTTACCATACAATGTTTACACTCCAGGGTCACAATGTTCACACTCCAGGGTCACCATACAATGTTTACACTCCAGGGTCACAATGTTTACACTCCAGGGTCACCATACAGTGTTTACACTTCAGGGTCACCATACAGTGTTTAAACTCCAGGGTCACCATGCAAAGTTTACGCTCCAGGGTAACCATTCAGTGTTTGCACTTCAGGGTCACAATGTTTACACTCCAGGGTCACCATACAGTGTTTACACTCCAGGGTGACCATAGAGTGTTTACACTCCAGGGTTACCATGCAATGTTTACACTCCAGGATCACAATGTTCACCCTCATGAATCACCATACAATGTTTACACTCCATGGTCACAATGTTTACACTCCAGGGTCACCATACAGTCTTTACACTCCAAGGTCACCGTACAGTGTTTACACTCCAGGATCACCATACAATGTTTACACTCCAGGGTTACCATACAATGTTTACACTCCAGTGTCACAATGTTCACACTCCAAGGTCAGCATACAATGTTCACACTACAGGGTCACAATGTTTTAACTCCAGGGTCACCATACAGTGTTTATACTCCAAGGTCACCATACAGTGTTTACACTCCAGGGTCACCATACAATGTTTACACCCCAGGGTCACCATACAGTCTTTACACTCCAGGGTCACCATACAATGTTTACACTCCAGGGGTCACCAAACAGTGTTTACACTCCAGAGTCACCATACAGTGTTTACACTCCATGGTCACCATACAGTGTTTACACTCCAGGGTCACCATACAGTGTTTAAACTCCAGGGTCACCATGCAAAGTTTACACTCCAGGGTCACCATACAGTGTTTACACACCAGGGTCACAATGTTTACACTCCAGGGTCACAATGTTTACAATCCAGGGTCACTATACAGTTTTACACTCCAGGGTCACCATACAGTGTTTACATTCCAGGATCACCATACAGTGCTTACATTCCAGGGCCACCATACAGTGTTTACACTCCCGGGTCACAATGTATACACTCCATTG